ACTGCTATAGAAACGTAAGGTTACGTTTGACAGCCGGCTGAAGTACATAAATAGGGACAAGCCATGAAATCTTGTCCTTGTTTGTGAAAACACCATTTATTGCTAATAAAATGCTTTAAAGTGTCTTAAATTGCATTTTTTCGCAAAATCAAATCCTTTTCTTACGTAAAGTACATTTTAACTGTTGTACATCATTCAATATTAAATATTATATACTCATAAACGGTGACTTTTCCTTAAGGTTTTGGACAAGAAAAGCTGGTTTATCTGACGAAATCGTAGTATAAATTTATAAAAAATATTTACTATACTTTACATGTTTATAAATGTAAAATGAACTATTTTAAAAAATCCATTGATATCATAACTATAAATAAAAAAATACTCTACTTATTTATTTTCACTTGTTTTTCTGTAATATTTATTTGAATATAAAGGCACACTAATCGGGACAGGCACACTAATAGGGACAGTTACTCTAATCAATTTTTTTTAATATAAGTGAGATCAAATAGAGCGTCTCCTTTAAAGTTAGGTCCGTGCAAGTCAAAGATATTAAACAGGAGAAATTAGTAACCTTGCACGTCTTGATAGAAACTCTTTAAATACCGTGTTTAACACGTCTTAATTTTAGTAAAGATATCGTGGACTAGCACGTCTCACTCAATACAAGCTTTTGAGAAACGAAAACTTTTGCAAGAAAAACGTAAATAACACAGTTTTTGAAACTTCACAAAATTGCGAGAAATCAAGACGTCTAAAAGAAAGCTTTCTTGACAAGACAATAAAACAAAAGGTTGTTATTTTTGCTTAGCAACGATAGAAATAAAATATTTCAGCTTTGTTCATGAAGTTTACATTTCATTTGGAGAGCGAACACTTCGAACTTTCGTGCTGCCCCTTTTTTTTAAACAACTACGAACAAACAAAAATATCTAAAAATGCACTTATACTTCGAAGTTTTTTTCGTCTTTCTTTTTACTTTCAGGGCAACACTGGGCCGCATATGTATGAAATTGGTGATTGTGATGGGTATCACCTGGGTAGCTGATGTCATCTCCTGGGCGGTCGGCGGACCGCAGTACATCTGGTATTTTACTGACTTAATAAACGCTTTCCAAGGAGTCTTGATCTTCGCGGCCGTCGGTTGTCAGCCGCAGGTTCGAGCGGCTGTTAAGAGATTCTTCAGCAGGAATCCGCAAACCAATACCGGCCGCCAGGGTAACGGCCACAGCACAACCAGTCACGGAATGCCTAGTATGGGCGATAGCGTCACACAAAATCCAAGTACCAAGACTGCGCCGTTAGAGACTATTTGTTAGAAGAGTTCCTTGTGAAAAATTGTTTTTTTACGGATTTTTTTCTCATGCATTCTTTTCACATTTCGACTAGTTGTTATTGAGTCATCAGTATTGCATTCAATGGATAAATTAATAACTATATACTATATCTATATATGTATAGACAATAAGGCTGAACTTCAGAAATGGCAAAATATTAAGTGTTATGCGGTATACTATCCCACCTAAGCATTAACAAAGATTTGCGTTAAAATATTTTTTTTAAATAAGTTTTATTTCATTAATATGTTTAAACGTACATACACACACACAAATTTTATAGACAAAATTATGACAATTATGACGCTTTGGTGCACAAGAAAATGCTTTGAAAATACGTTTTTAGATAACTCTTGAGTTTTTGTTTTGATTAACAACGACTTTGTTAGAGTCAATAATGACAAGGAAAGAGACACTGATCGTTGTTCTTAGAAATCGTACAAAAATTGCAATTAAACAACTAAACTCTTTCTGATTAAAATGGATATTATTAAACATAAATATATACAAAATGCAATAATATATGAAAAACTAATAAGTCAGATTTAATTTTACATTAAAGTTCTATTTTAATTTTAAAACAATTTTGCTGATTGTTATTTTCACTAAAAAATACAAATGTCAAGAACTCTGAAAAAATGGCAAATTTACGTAAAAAACTTTAATAAGGCTTATAACACGGTTATTGTTTGTACAGAAAATTTTCTGAAATGTAATTAGTATCTAATTTGTTTTTTTGAAAAAATCATAGATTTTGTTTATAAATAATAAATATAATATTTTAAATATAAAAGTGAAGAAATGAGAATTTAATACTTGAAATAATAACGAGAATAAGTATTAAGTCTGAAAAAATATTCAATATATAGAAAATTTCCTAAAGCTTACTTGTGATTCAATCCAATGGAATTACATAGTACAAAATCTCAAATATATTGAACACAATTGCACAACTTGTAATCATATTGCAAACCTTATGAGAAATTTCTGTTACACAATTACAATTTATTAAATTTTTTTTGTAAGTTATTGCAATGAATTTTTTTTTGTTTATAACCTGCATAAAATATATAATATTGAAAACATTATTGTTTTTATTGTGTAGTAAAAGTAACATATTAATATATTAATACTTTGTTACACATGTATATATACGCTGAGTTCAAAGAGAGAAGATATCTCCTTCCGCGCATAGAGGAAGAAAAGCTGGCAAAGTGAGGATAGCATTGCGCGTGGGATTGGCGGGATACTCGCTGGCAGCCAATAGCTTTGAAGTGGGGGGCTTTCTGGTAGGAGAGATGTGTTTTTATCTGCTATAGATTCTCTTTTTGAACTCAGTATACATATTTATTATAAAAGCACAATTCAAAAATTGTGACGTATTAATCACATTATCATTGAAATTAACTTCTTTGAGTGCAGAACATAAAGAAAGTTTTCCTCTCAACTGTCAACCTCGGACGCAGCAGTAATGTACCTATTAGTATCGTTGACATGTGCGCAGTTACTACTGTCTCAGAAATTTGTTGTTAACAGGTTGAGAATAGAAATATGCAAATAAAAAATTTTGAATAAGCTAATAACTGATAGCGAGCTTTTTTTGAGTGCACATATATGTTCTCACAGGCCAAAGCAAATTTTTATTTCGCTTTATATATACCCGCAGCGCGCTTTATAAGGATGTAAGGAAACTCGGAGCAGATGCAATGTGCTACTTTTGTTTTCATAGTTATTGAAAAATAGACAAAACCATGTAAAATAATATTTTTATATTATGAGATCAGAATTTGTAACATAAAAACATTGTTTTGTATTTTCTTTGTTCTCTATTTGATTCCACTAAATATGAAAACGAAATATTGTCAATCTGCCTTGGTTTCTCCTAATAGTATTAAATTTTCTAATGTTATGTTATATATACATATAAATATTGGTACTTATATAATTTTATTGTTTATCATATCAAAAAAAGAGAAATTGCGCATCACTACTTAATCGCCAAAAGTGATTTTCTGCATTTTTTTCTTCAGGAAAATCGAGCAGCTGAATTGACAACGTTATTATTGCAACTGGTATCATTATTATTATTATTATTATCATTATTATGATTATTATTGTTATTATTATTATTATTATTGTTATTATTATTATTATTATTATTATTATTATTATTATTATTATTATTATTGCTAGTATTACGTAGCGCGCGCGCGCGCGAGCCTGTTGCGTGCGTTCATGTGTGCGTGCGTGCGTGTGTGCGCGCGCGCATGTGTGTATAAACATGTGTATACGTGCCTACCGTGAAACTTATTGTACAAAAGTGCGTGTGTGTGTGTTTAAAATCTGCGTATAGGAAATGTTTTATTAACAAACAGCAATATTCTTTTCGAAAACCTGACTTAATTATATTATATAATCAATGATAAGAAAAACAGTTTTTTAGCATATTGTCACGTGCACATGGTTTTTTACATTTACGATTTATATATTCAGTTTGTTTAAAACTAAATCCAATGAGAAGGGCCAATATGAACCTTAAGACACAGGTAGTAGAGTGTAAAAATTCCAATTTATTGCAATATATGCAAGTATACAATATGACGTCTCGATTTTTGATTGAATCCTCTTCAAATACAAATAATCTGTATTAATTAACAGACAGAAAACATTATATCACTACTAAATTGACAAAAAATAAACGGTGGTTAGACAACAGGAAATTTCTTGGTCGTAATTCATATAAAAAATTTTTGGAGTGTTTTAATCAACAAGCGACTCACTCAAAATTCACGTTGCCACAAATAAACGGCATAAAGATGTCAAGTAATATTAAAATCCACTACGCATAAAACAATTAAAAAAGAAAGATAAAAAGTTAAAAAAGTCAAAAATAAAAAATAAGAAATAAAATAAGTCAACGATAAACATGTCAACCGGTTAAAAGGTGCAGCGTCAAACTGAAATTAAACTGCGTAGTGTTGTTGTCAAAATGAAACTAATAACCGAAAACCAGGTGAGTCGCGTGTGATTAAGGTACAATACAGAGAAGAGACAGGAACAGACCGAAAGACATCTATCGCATGTGAGTCAATAAGAACTTTATACCTTCTTTTATATAAACTTATCGACTAGAGGTATACACGCATTACCTAGAAAGTCGATGTCACTCTGCAGGTTCAAACTTGTCTTCTGTTTCTTCATGTAAAGCATCTGAGACACTAAACGCTTAGAATAAGAATATTCCTCATTTAAAATTCTAACATTATCCCAGTCGAAATCGTGTGAGAATTCAACTCTATGGTCAGTAATGACCGAATGTTGCGTCCAATTACGACGGATGTGGTTTTTATGTTCCGATATTTGAGAATAGAGGTTTTTTGGTTTGACCGACGTAAGAAGACAGGTAGTCTTTACATTTAATGTGATAAACCTCATCCGATTTCATGTTTTGTGGCAAAGGATCTTTATAAACCTTGATAAATCTGGACAGAGTATTAGAGTTTGTAAACGCTAGACTCATGTCCAACGTCGATCTAACAAAGTTAGCCACATACTTGGAAATCGACTGGGTGTATGGGAAGGTGAAAAAATTTTAGGAGTCTCTCCCTCCAGAACTCGATCCAAGAGTCTCGTCTTATCAATAGATCCACTAAAGAGACTTTTCAGACGCCTCCGTCATTACGTCAAAAATTAAATGTAAATTATAGCCGTTTCTTTGTAAAATATTTATAACAAAGTGGAGATTCTTTTCATGGAACATAGGATGAGAGAACAAAAAGGCTTTATCAATAAGTCCAATGATGGAACAATTTTTGACTTTTTTAACTTTTTACCTTTCTTTTTTAATTGTGTTATGCGTAGTGGATTTTAATATTACTTGACATCTTTATGCCGTTTATTTGTGGCAACGTGAATTTTGAGTGAGTCGCTTGTTGATTAAAACACTCCAAAAATTTTTTATATGAATTACGACCAAGAAATTTCCTGTTGTCTAACCATCGTTTATTTTTTGTCAATTTAGTAGTGATATAATGTTTTCTGTCTGTTAATTAACACAGATTATTTGAAGAGGATTCAATCAAGAATCGAGACGTCATATTGTATACTTGCATATATTGCAATAAATTGGAATTTTTACACTCTACTACCTGTGTCTTAAGGTTCATATTAGCCCTTCTCATTGGATTTAGTCCATTTTCAGATGAGTTCGGTGGATAAAAATGATTTGATTTGAATGTAAAGGCGTTTCCGAACGATTGCAGGATTTTGTGCAAATAAATTGTAGTTCTGTTTGAGTGTAAAACAAATGTTTCGACTTTTATTTAAAGTCTTCTTCAGTGTTGTCTATAAATTACATAACATATAAATAAGAGTCAGATACAAAGGTTAACAAGTGATTGCAATCAGGCTTACCTTTGACCACACGTTCACTGTGTCGCATCTAATTCGTTGACATATGTACATGTTTCTAGTCAACGGCTACTATTGTACTGAGATGTTTTGATGTCATGTGGAGAAAGGCAAGTTTACATTAAAACGTATAAAACCTGGTTATTCAATTTCGTCTAAGATCGGTAAATATGAGTCATCTAAATGTTCTGTGTCTTGCATCTTGTTTAGACTTTGTTTTTGTAATTTAATGTGCAACATTTCAGATGTGAGCCTTTTAACGTAGTTCGGTTCTATATCTAATATTTTTGTGGTGTCCCAATTAAACTGAAAAAGACTTTAAATAAAAGTCGAAACGTTTGTTTTACACTCAAAAAGAACTACAATTTATTTGCACAAAATCCTGCAATCGTTCGGAAACACCTTTACATTCAAATCAAATCATTTTTAATTCATTTTGTTTATTTCGTTGTTAGTATAGTAATTATTCGAATTTCATTTATCGATTATAAATACGGGAAAGTAAGTAGAAAAACTTAATTGTATTCATTAATAGAAGTACGTATCTCTATAGAGTAAGTAAGAGCGTCATATAATAACTGACATTCTTGATAACAGAATCGTTTATGTTATATTTATGTTTTGTGTTAGACGCAAGCTTATATCATTTATAATTTATTATCTTAGTGAAACCGACTTAATATGTTATTATTTTTTAAACCTTTTTTTTCTGATTTGCGTTTCGATATCTCGTGTATTTTAGTTAGCTTGTAAATATAAGACTGTCAGAAATAGCGTCACACAGATTCGCGCATGTATAATAAGCGTATACATTTAATACTCAAATAAAAAAAATAAAATATCTTGTTACAAAATAAAATAAGCGACAGCGTGTCCAGACAACACCAATGGTGTTCGAGAAAACGGAGGCTATATTCGTAGACAATAGTGTTAACCAATATATTCTGCAATAAATAGTTTTTTAATAATTGCATAGAGTTGAACAAATTGTGTAATACAATACATAGAGATGAAGAAATGTTTACAGACAACGATACACTGCCGCTGATCATACTTCATTCCTATATGTATATTCTATATACGGCGAATATTTATTATATGAATTTACACTAATTACATTAAAACAAACTGTTAGAGTACAAA